AATAAGTTGGTCCCCCTTTGCTTGTGACCTTTGACCCTTGTCATGACGCCAACTGCCAGGCATGATGGTGGAGGACTGATGATATGGGATTGTTCTGCAGACTAAAGATCCAGGGATTTTACAGTCTTTGAGCTGACATTGAACTTCTTTTTAAACTAAAGTATTCGACAGTCAACTGTAAGACTTTCTGCTCAACAGCTAAAGCTCTATGATCCCAAATATACCAACAAATATACAACTGCATTTCTGAAAATAATGGAATAAAGCTTTTGTATTGAGCCAGAAAAATTCTTGCCTCTAGCCTGATTAAAATCCAGTTCTACAGTGGTAGAGGTATACCTTAAGGTTGAGCTGAAACAAACACATGCAAACCTGAATGAACCAAAGCTATGGTTTCAGGAATTTATTTTACGATCCAGGTATCTATTTGGACCATTTTCCAAGAATCACGCTCCTTCTTTTTTTTTTTTTTTTTTAAGACGGATTTGTTCTTCCTGGAAAAACCAAACTTCAAAAGCAGCAGCTGGAGAGAAGTAACACCTCTGAAAGAAGATAAGAGATCATAAGGAAACAGTACCATGCTTTTCTACTACAAAGCATCAATATCCTGATGTAAAGACCCCCTCAAACCCTCTTTTAAAGGGAACATCAAATGTATTGTTTGAACTCTGAATTCATGGTTTAATTTGTAATAAAGCAGGGATTGAGAATGGAGTCCCAGGTGCAGGATTTATTTCCCCCGTGATGCCTTTTTTTCCCGTCACATTAAACTTTCAGGAAAATATAAAAATTGCTGACCTGCTCTCAGCGCTGTAGCTGTTATGCTTTATACACTCTAAAAATGAGGGAGGATGTTCCTTCACATCACTTTGTCTGAGATCTGCAGCGCCGCTGTTAGCCTTGACAATATTTTGTGTTGTGAATGAAAACATAAACACTGTTTTGAGAACAAATTTTAACATGTGGAAAAATGCAAGTGTTGCCACAGTGAAAACACAAAGCTGAGATCTGTGTGACATGTTTCTGGGAAACCTGCTGTCTTACAAATTTTGCAGTAATTCCATTTAGGAAAACTTGCGACGCAAAGAATTCGCCTGAAGAGACGTAGAGGGAAAAAAAAGGGACAAGGTTTCAACAAACACAAAAAGTTCCATCATGTGACTTAAATTGGTAACCAAAGCGGTAGTAAAACAATAAAAATAAAGGAGTATAACTAAAGCAGCCGTAAAATCATAAAAACAAAGGAGCGTCCAAAGCAGCCGTCAAACCATAAAAACAAGCAAACAAACAAAAATTAAAATAAAAAAATCACATATGCATCAGAGAATGCATGTATTAGTTGTATAGATGGATCCGTTTGATCTAAATTAGATTTAAATAATTCAGTTCCCAGTACAAAAAAAAAATCCAATTCCAGGTTTTGTTTTGGCAACTTGTAAGAAAGTATCAAGAAATAACAATTAAAGCAATTCGAGGAAGAATAAAACAATAAAAATCTTAAAGCTGTGAGATTCTGAGAAATAAATGTGGAGTAAGGAGTTTTGTGCACAATACACAATAATCAGGGAGGCTGTTTCTTTCCAAACTTTTAGTACCACCTTTAGAAAATTGTTCCTCCAGCCATTCCTGACTTTACAGACATTTAAATCCAGCAGCAAATCAGAATTTCTGTTTAATAAGTCTATTTTGTTAAATCTTAAAAAACTGAGAAATTGAAAAAAAGAAGAGGAAGCCTTCCTATCTTTTAGCAATGCATGAGTAGCTGAACAATGTGTTTTTTATTTTTCAATCTTTTTATCCAAATTGGATAATTTTCAATTCAGTTCAGTGTATTTATATTGCGCCAATTCACAACACGTCATCTCAAGACACTTTACAGTTCACCGGATCATTCAGTCAAACTGATTCCAAGTTTCCTATCTAAGGAAAACCAGTTGATTGCATCGACTAATTGACTCAAAGGCGACAGTGGAGAGGAAAAACTCCCTTTGAACAAGAAGAAACCTCCAATCAGTGTGAGCGGCCATCTGCCGAGGTCGACTGGGGTTCAAGGAGACAGAAGCAGAGATACAAATGGCAACTGTAAAAGGCAGCCTGGTCCAGGAAACATACAGCCAGGCAGACGAACTCCGAGCCAGCACTCATGTCAGAGGACGAAGACAGCCATCCAGCCAGTCATAGTCAGAGAAACAGGATTACACTAAAAAACAGGCCAAGCTCCAACATCTATAAAAAAAAAAGGTGTTGATGGCAGCAGCACAGTTGTTATTTCTCTCCAGGATGGTGTGACAGCCAAACAGGAACAAACGAGGTAAAGCTACTATAAGAAAAAGCACACAGAGCATAACGTTTACATTTGATCACTGCTGCACTTTATGAAATGGAAATGTTCATTTCACTGCTAAGCTGCTGCTCATTCACTGTCTGAAAACTGTACACTCTGTGTATACAAAATGACAGTTAAAGTTGTCTAAGTCTAAAGTCTAAGCCTAGACATATTAACATTGTGTTTGAGATCGTTATGCATTCAGAGCACAGCATTAGTTTCTACAAGCACCTGTATTTTTAAATGCAGCCCATGTATGCCCACAAATAATCCTCCCACAGTCCAACAATATGCAGGTTTAGCAACTAAGCATTCCCAAGGAATAAATGATCTGTCACTGAATTACAAGCTGCTGGTTGGTGATGGTATTCAGCTACCCACTCCTCTGCTGTTCCACAGTGGGACCCTGCAAGGACAAGTGGGCATTTACTATATATGGACCGATACATAACATAAATCATGTCTTTAAAATTGTTGTTTGTTTCTACTTTTATATTTGTTTGATTTGAAAATTACTTTGATGATCCAAAAAATCATACTAAAACTTAATAAATCTTTAATGGCAGAGAAAATCTTTCACAGTATGAAAAAAAGGTGCCATGTGGTACATTATACTCATTTGTTTTGATATTTATGGCTCATTTAATGTATTGTTCAGCCAACCATAGCCCTTTAGGACCATATGAATGTTTGCACTAAACAAAACCTGCAAACCCCTTGAACTCATGTAACTCTTGACACCAATTTTAATGATTATGCAGCTGATCGACAGGAAATCAGAGCATGAAGATCTTCTCTATACTCTCAATTTGTCTAAGCTGTAGATTCAGCTGGAAAGAAGGCAACAGGTGTAGATATTCTTGCAGCAGCTTATTTCTGGTTGCAACACAGCATATGTTGCAAGACCCTCTGAGTCATTTAGGGTGTGCTCAGACCACCAATAGTAGAAAGACTTGTGTCATAGTTTGCCATTAAAAAGGTGGTCTGATGCTAAAAATAAAGGAGAATGCTGAACATTATGCAGAGTACGGTAGTTGAAATTGCAGGAAAAAACAACAACCAATGGAAACTACTTTATTGTAAACTGCATCTGATTTAATTTTAATATTCATCTACTATTCATATAATATTAATATTCAATACTGTTTCATGATTAATAATTTTCATTTTTTTTGTATTAATTAAACATTTAACCTTTTATTGTCAGATAGTTTTAGTTGGTCTGTTTTCCTTCATATTGATATAAGCTGTTAATACACCATTATGGTAAGGCATTGCATTTACTGTCAATGGCGATATCAATCTCGCTCAAACTTCGATGGTCAGAAGACTCTCTGGGAACCAGTAAAAATGTAATCCAATTCAGTTTACTTATATAGAGCCAATTCACAATAAATGTAATCTCGAGGCACTTTGAAGAGAAAATTCAATTAGGTTGGTTACAAGTTTCTGTCATTGAAAACCAGTTGAGTGCATCAAGTCGGTGGAAATTGACTTGCAAGACAGGCTCCTCCTGGTTGAGCTTGTGGCGCCGATTTCCGCTTGCATTATCAATTCTCAAAAAGTAGGAGAAGAAAACTGACGCCAACAAACACTGATCGGCACATGGCCGCTCACACTGAGCCTGGTTCTGCTGGAGGTTGCTTCTTGTTAAAAGGGAGTTTTTCCTCTCCACTGTCACGGCATGCATGCTCATTGTAAGGGATCGCAGAGAATCAACAAGTCTATGCAATCAATTGGTTTTCCTTAGAAAAAAAACTTTTCACCAATCTGATTGTATGATCTGGTTAAATTGTCTCTATAAAGTGCCTTGAGATTACATGTGTTGTGTGAATTTGTTGCTTATAAATAAACTGAATTGAAGTGATTTGAAAACTTCAAAGCTTTACTAAGACAAGAAAAGACAATCGTCAGGGTTTGAATATCAGAGCAAATTACAGAATTACCAAGCAAATTACAAATTAGAATTTATAGGAGTCATCAAAGGCATGATTTTTAAGTAAAACAATATATACCTCTAAATGATTTTATGGAAGAAACTGATTTTAATACTTTTTTGGCTGTATGTAAGCATTATTTCAAATTTTCTTGCAATAGTTTTTGGCGGTCACATGACTTTAAAAGCAGCTGTATATAACCAAAACAAGGCCTATGTCTGGATTCATCAATGCATTGTCCTTAATCTCCAATCATCTATGACTGTTTGGAATTGTATCATGTTTAATCTGAGTACTAAACAACCAAACAAAAAAATAACATATAATATTCCCTTATTTCCCGCAGCAGATGGCGCTGTAAGTCTGAAATAATGAATCTACATGCAGATTCTTACAGGTTTAAACCAAATAACCTACATTGCATGGGATTAATGAGGGTAGAACTAAGATTGCATCGTTTCAATGGATCTAATAACTTCCAGAAATGCAGTAAAATGAATGTATTGTCTTTATGGCTGAAGGTAAATCATTTGCCATGATTTTGTAAAACTTATCTTTGAGAAACAGTAATTTGGAAGTATTGAAGTAAATTATTTGATATGAGAGAGGTGAGGAACACAGTATTGAGCAGGCTGAGCCCCCCCCCCCCCCAGGAGGAGTGGCACAGACAGAAGGATGGTCCGGCTGATAGAGGAGGAGGCGGTGGCCGCTCCAGGACGCGCACAGCGCAATGACTCAAACCAACTTCACAGAGCTCTGGAATTAGGCTTCTACTATTTCACACCACCAGGAGGCTGTAAATCAGACATATACCGAGTTTATTTTATTTTTTTCTCCTCAGTGATTTTCTCTGGGCGCAGATTGGGGATCATAAGTTTGGGCAAAGTTCCAAAGGCCGTGAGTTTCCCTTCATTCTTCTGACAAATTCTTTGTCAAGTGTTATTTTCTGTGCTTGTAGATTCTGTTGTGTGGCAGCGGAAGTTTATAACGCTGTTATAAACAGACTGATACGTAAAATGCTCAGCTGTTTTTGCTCTACTTTCTGCATGTGGGGCGCTGCTTTCTGCAGTTCTTTCTGCAGAACACACAGTGTCAGCATCTCCTCCACTAATGTGTTGATCATGACGTTCAAGTTGGAGGTGATCTGGGTGGTGATACCTGCATGCAAAAGCTCAAAGAGGGTGTTTCCCTTTAACCCGCCCTCTGCGTGTTGCCTTTTCAGGTCAAACATCATCAGCAGCAGCTTCAGAGATCTGCTCAGCTCAGACTATTCAGACAGGAGATCAATCAGACCTGAGGAGATGAGTGGCAAAAAGTAAGTGTTTCCTTAACTTAATACAGAGAAAACAGCTGCAGGATCAGTGGGATTTAGGATAGGCTTTCATAAATAAGATGCAACTCAAGAATAGTTATCTGGTAAAAAGATTAGAAGCTAAACTGATAGAATATCGCTAGTATTTACTCTTATATGTTTACAGCTCAAACTTTTATCAATTTTCATGGATCAAGGTTAGTTTTTGTTTTGTGTTGCCGTTTGACAGCTGCTAAACCCAACACAAAGCTTTTCATTGTTTGAAAAATGTAGAATGAATTGTTTATTCTGTTTGGTTGCATTTGCTTTGGAAGAAGTCTCAGATGGAAGGTGCCCGAGACATCTCTGGTAGGTTGGCTGCACCAATCAGTTTCCTGGAGTAAACCCATTTCCAGTTCATTTTGTGATAAGAATTGTTTGTTTTTCTTTAGTAAGAACAAGAACATTAAAAACTCTCACTAAATATATCTAATTGTGGTTCAAAACACAGAAACTCGAAAAGAAAATGATTTATTTCATGTAGAATTTTTTTTTTTAAAACATGACCTTCCCTTTTTAATTTATCCTTTTTTTGATCTCAGGTGTGAAAAGCTATAGTTAGGGGGGAAAATCCTTGTATGAACACCATAAATTAGAATCAATCCAAAAGGTAATTCAGTCTTGTATTAAATTTCAAAAAGTAAAATTTAAATAAGTAGATTGATGCACATAATGTGATTAAAGCTCTTATGCTGTTAATTATTGTGTTTTGATCTACAGCTTATGAAAAAACACTAAATTTGGTTTCTCTGAAAACTTTGAAAAAAGATAGAAAAAAAAATCTCAGTGCAGCATTTTTGTCCTGCAGTGGTGTTATGATCTACTAAGTCATGTGGAGAAGAGCTGAGTTGACAGTGGTGCTGCAGACAGTCACTGACACTACACAGAGTGAGCCTCAAGGTCACTAGAATCTGGCTGTATTCAGATGTACTAATGGAAAGTTAAGTGGAAGGAAAAATGGTGCCCAAACTACAGGGATAATTGCAGTCTTAGAGGAATGAGAAATGTTCTGACCTTAAACCTAGAGACAGTTTATGAAGTAGGGGACAGAGACAACAGAACAAGTTATGTAGTGTAGCAATGTGGGCCTCTTAAACTGCATCAGTGCAGCATGACATGGAGGCAGCTTGTAGTTCTGTTGAGGTATTATTCATGCAAATATAAGAAAATACCTGTGCCAGTTTGTGTTTAATTATAATTTTTTCAAATTATGTTATGGCTTATTGAGATGAAATAGTAAACTGTCCCATGTGGTCCATTGTAGGATTAATCTCCAAAAGCAGATTGGAAAATAGGAGTTGTGCTGAACAAAGTTAATGTGTATATGCAGATATCGTGCCATGTAAAGCTGTGCAGATGCCTTCCAGTAGTTCTGATTGTCAATTAATTTGGCAACACATCTGAAAGGCTGAGTACAGAATGCCCTCTTTCCTCCTTTAATATGCCGAGGACTAGGTCCACGTTCAGACTATGTCGGTTCACCATGATCCCAAAGGCTGATAATGTTATCTGCAAAGTAAGAAAAAGATATACAGTATGATGAGTTCTTCTTAGTGCCTGTAAATCCTGTAATACTGTTGCTTTGAATGGGTTAGATATTAATTATCAACTCAGAGGCAGTTTAAAATAGTGACTGAGGGAAAACAGTCTAGAAATCTATATTTTTCTGCTTGTGAATGTTTTATTGAAAAACAAAACCTGAACATTGACTGCAGCGCAGTGGCGGCTGGTGGAGTTTTCTCCAGGGGAGGGGCTATACATTCAAAACAGACATATACCAAAAGCCAATCAAATATATTCTAAGTTATCACACCAGAATATTTATAAGAATGCCAACAACAAAAACATTATAAAAACATAATCTCTTGTACTGAGGCTTTATGAAGAGAAATCTGTGTTTTGAATGGTCCAATATGGTGTCATTAACCTAAACAAAATTAATGTACTAGTTTAATAATGGAGCCACTATTAGTCACCTTTATATTCTTTTTAATATATGCAAACTAACAAACATCTAGAAAAAGTACACTATATTCTATTATTTTCCATTTGAATCCCAGATTGTTCATGCTTTTCTAAAAAGTGAGTTAAGGAAAGCAGAATAGAGCGTTAGCCTCGCATGCAGTTAGCCAAGCCTTGTAGCTAGACCAGGTCCTGGAAAAAGGCAGAGTGTACCGTCTCCATCTGTCTTTGGACTGCTGATTTATTTTGATATTGGGCTGATCAGGTCCAAATGGTTTTACCTCCAGTTTCTCTTGGTTAGTTTGCTTTGAAGGATTTCACTCCCGCGACTCGACCTGTCAATCAGCCGCACTACAACTGTGACGAAATTTCCTATCAGCTCAGGGCACAGCTCTCCTGTGCCCTGAGCTCTCCTATCCTTTTGCATTGCAGAGGAGCTTCTGCCCATGTACAGCTTTTAACAAGAGTCTTTGGCCAAAGATTTTTGCGCACTAGGGCGGAAATACGTCACAAATCAGACGACAAACGAAACAGCTTTATTTGTCATTAAAGATTAAATATTTATCTCGCACATCTAAAAATATATTAAGATATTTTAAGATATTTTAATTTTATAATTTAATTTTCATTTGTTTTTTATGTCAAGGTCATTAGGTGGGTGGGTGGGATGAATCCCTAGCGCCCTCTATTGACCAGCCGCCACTGCTGCAGAGAAAACAAAGGAAACATTTCTGTGAATTAGAAAAACGGTCAACTCACCCCAAAGCTGACTTTTCTTAGCTAATAAACTCCAAAATTATTTGTCTTATATTGCTGTCTATGTCTTCCATGCAGATTTCTTTTTTTTTTTTTTTACATTTTACTGTATCTTCAATCTGGCTTTAGTGTCTATAGCCATTTTTTTTGTCCTCCTAATGTTTAAAGAGTGTACTACATCTTATTTGAAATCAGTATTGGGTGAAGTTGGCTGTATCAGCATCATCCAGTAGAAGTGGCATGAATAACTCTGCCACTGTAGGGAAATAACATTCTGAGCAGAAACTTTAGAGTGTGCTGCTGATTAACTAATCATCATAATTTACAAATGATTTGATGTCTACTATTCTATAGAGAGAAAGATCTTCACACAGGGAGACGCAGGATCTTATTTGGTAAAACCAAACATTACAGATCAGCATGGACGCTTCATGCAAACTGCATAGCATGGCAGAGGGGGACTGATGATTTAGGCCTACTTTTTCAGCTCCTGCTTCTGGGCGCCATGCAGTCACTCAGTAGACCAAGAGGTGAAGAAAGAGGCAAATGCGGATCTTTAAAAAGAATGAACCATATTCCCCTCAGACTGATGTAAAAGAACGATTAAGTCAAACAGAAAATGAATACATCAGATTAAATATATAAATATTTTGGTTCTGGATTTGGAAAGCCATCCCTTAAAGCGCATGTACTTACTTGACTTTTTTTGGTTGTTATTATTAAAATATAAATTCTATTTACCCTTAGGAAAGTCAACAATAGTTTTGTATGACCAAAAGCTGAAAGATATTACTTGAATGTCAAAATTCACACTTTAAAAGTCCTTCAAATCAACTTTTTTAGATGATGCCCCTGCTTATCCCATTTCTCCCAAAATTTAGAAATGCCCTTTTTTTCCTGGACATAATGTATGAACATTAATACTTGTTTTAAGAGAAAAATCGGGTGATGATGGTTATTTTCTGGATTAAATCTATAAAAAAAGAAAACAAAAAATAACATTTCATTGACTCAAACTATGCGAGTTTCAGGTTGTGTAAGGATTCTATTGAGGAGTTGGCCTTTTGGTAAATTTAGTTCTGTAATTATTGGTCTTAACATTTTTTTTGTCTGACAAACTTGTATTTTATAATAAATAAAAATGGCTCTGAATTAAATTTTAAGAGATTACATTTATTTTACCCAACCTTGACATCAGATCCAGTTCATTGTCTAACCTTACCTATATCTAGATTGTATTTTTACTCAAAAATTACCAAAAGAACAAACTTTTAGTTTTTTTTTTTAAATCAGAAAATTACATTTACAGAATAATTTCATTTAACATGTAACATTCTTATTCAGAAATCCCACTTTTCTCATACATTTATTGTGAAGTTTAATTTTTTTTGGTCTTGTTTGGTGAACCAAATAGAAGAAAAAAGTAAAAAAGACTAAATGTTTAAAAAGTAGTAAAGGGACTGCTTTCTTTCTGTCTCTTCTAAGCCTACATTCAGTGTGATTGTGGGAAGCTCAGACTTTTTGCTGTTATGTCCTTACTTGTTCCATAGGTGGCAATGGAGGTAGTAGAAAGCACAGTGCTGGTGAAGCACACAGACAAATGACTTTTATTCACAGTGGACTGCTGGTCTTAATTAAAACTTAATTAGATCAAGGTTTAAATAAACTATTATTAAATAATTGTGAAAAATTGTGATTTCGCTGAAAATATAAGCCAACTTGTCTATAGAAAAACAATTATATTTGGCCATTTAATTAAGGCAGTAATATTTTGATACATCACATTAGAAAGTGTAAAAGTAGAAATGTGTGCTGAATGTGTAACTTTCCCTGTGAGTATTAGATTAATATATTATTTATTACCAAAATACATTAAGTTAATGATAGAAGGCTGTGCTGGACATTTAACACTTGCTGACCTTTGACCCCTGAGTTACTTAGATGATTTTGTTTAACTGTAAATAAGACACTGACACCCCAATAATTATGCTGTTTAGATTAAATAGAAAGTATACATTATAAATACAGTTTTATATTTCAATTTATAATAGGAATAATTTTCTGGGTTCTTAAATTGTCTTAAGCTAACCACAAATGTAAAAGAGATTGTACTAAACATGTTATTTTCTGTATGCCTGTCAGTCTTTAATATCGTGATGGAGGAACATTTCTGCACAGCCCTTCTGTGGGCTTTTCCCAGCAGGTTGGGATCGGAACTTGGATGGTTCATTGGGACACCTCCATTCTTTCCCTTTTCACCTCCATTCTTTCCCTTTTCAGTAATAGATTGATTGGTAAATTAGTGTGAACCAAACCTCTATTTTCTTAAAAGACATTTTAAGACCCACATTTATCTCTAGAACACTTTTGTACCTGGGACTGCAAACTGCTGAGGTACTGTGGCTGGTAAACAGGCCCAAACCAGCTGACCACCACTTCAAAGGTTAACTGTTGTGCTCATCTGCTGTGTTTATTTTTCTCTAAACATGGTGGTGCCCAACATCTCTGCTTTGGTCACCTGACTGATGTCACGTCCTTCATTTTAATACAATGATCCAAACTTCAGTCTTTTTTTTTTTTTGCAGGGTGAAAATGCTTTCTCTCTTACACTTTCGAATATTCCCTTGTGATGCAGTCTGTTTCTTACCGTCCTGTCATGAATCTAGTTAACTCAGGGCACTTGTCACTAAGATGGGGCTCTTGGGTAATTTTAAGGAGTTACTGATCTTGAGATAAAACTTTTAGAGTGTCCACCCTGAGAGATTTCACCATTTTTTTTTTAAGACTTGTGATTAATCTTTCAATTCATAATCATCAAACGTAAAATTGTTCCAACAACAAACACAGCAACAATCCATTTAAAATACAATGTTTTTTCTGTTCCCAAACTTTTCTTTCCTCCTCCCCATATTGACCTAAAAGAAAATTTTCATACCCCCCCCCATTCTCTGACAAATCTATTTGAAAGTTGCATAAAGAAAAGTCAACTGCAATAAACCTTATTGGAATAAAAAATAACCTTTTATCTCTTTATATCACAAAACTATCATATAATTATTAAAATTTACCAGCTTTAATATTGCCATCAATATATATTTTTAAATGCCCCTGAAAATTATTCTTTTATTCAATATAATGCAGCCCCTGCAGTTTCACAAGCTGCATTAAGACATCTACATGACAATGATCTAGTGAGAAGACTCTGGTAGAAACTTCAAAAATGTTTCAGTTTCCTTGTTACATCACTAGTAGGTGGTATGATCTTCAAAACTCGACATGCGCTAGCCCAGGGGTCTGCAACCTTTCATATCCAAAGAGCCGTTTTGCCCAGAGTCCGACCAAGTAAAAGTTGTTTAGAGCCGCAAAATATACCATGCCTTTTCTAGAAAACCTTTTTTTTTAATCTTGTATAGGAAATTAGTTGTTGCCTTCTCAAACAATCAACAAATCATGTATTTTTAATGTTAAAACATATAATTTTCAAGCTAATTCGTAGAAAAATGTCTCTTAAAACATTTTTCTGGTTCTTTTAATCTCATTCTTTTCCATCTTATAAAAAACGCTAAAGCTATTGATACCGGTATATATTATAGTAAATTATTTAGCTCTTTATATACATTTTAGCTACTATTAAGAGCCGCTGGAGAGGCTCCAAAGAGCCATATGTGGCTCTGGAGCCGCAGGTTGCAGACCCCTGCGCTAGCCTAAACACAATACGCTTTACCTTTGCCATGTCTACCAACACAGGAAGGTTTTTGCTGTGTATATGAGAAGGGAGGTATTGCTTCAAACCTTCCAGAAAGCCTTCCACACTGGCACATTTCTGTGTCATAAATAACGGTGTGAAATTTGTGATTTTAAATCCAAAACATTAATAAAACATAATTTTATTACAATTTTAACCCTTAATTTTACATTAACTTGATGTTGCCACGCAGGATTACACACTTTAACAACCCCATCTGACATTTTCACAAAACTGACCTCCTTTTTGCTTATGAGCAGCAGGGATAAAATTTTCAAAAGTTTGTTGAGAAGAAGCATGGAGGGTTTATTTCATTTTCAGTTGAACACTTGTGGAGACATTTTAGAAAGTTCCAAAGAAGCTTCCCCGGCCTCTAATGAACGAGTGTGTGTGTGTTGTCACTTAAGCAAAGCCGGCATAATCCCGTAAGGGCGGATGAGTAGACAGACATGTGATGGCCCACTTGTTTCTAAGGTGGAGGGTGTTGGAGAGAGAGGGGGGGCTGGCAGGCAGGCATTAGCAGCAGATGGAGAGGCTTTGTAGTATGTGTGGGCGTCTGGCTAATCACAAACACGAATTCAAAGTTTTGTTTGATGTTTCGTTACTGTAACTAAAGGTCTTATATGGAATGATGTTGCTCATTTGACGAGGTTGATGTCTCGTTAGGAGCAGCACCAGGTTCTCTGTGGACTACACTAAATTAGCCGGCTTCCTGTCCTCTCCCTCACCCTCCTGTACCAGATTAAAGCCACAACATTATACCTGTCACACTTAGCGTTCATCAAGGACGGCCCACACGCGGTCACCCACTTGGGCTCATTCACTCGCTGCCCATCACAGGCGTCAGGTGTAGCCTCTGGTGTTTTATGGTTCTTTAATGGGTGGAGATGAGCGCCACCAGCAACACCAGACTGAGCCCTAGTCCTAATTTACTGCAGGTCAACGAGCCAAAGCGCTATGGCTCAACGCTGTCACTGGAGGAAAAGTGTGAACAGTCTTTCTTCCTCTTCTACTACTACAGGATGGAGGACGAGGCGGTGGTGGACCGCGGGGCGTCCTTACTCAAGCACCTCTGTGATGAAGAGGAGGTAGAGGGTGAGTTTACCTGTTCATTTTTACTCCAACTTATTTTAGATGGCATCATATGTTTGGAAAGCATATAAGCTATGAAAATCATTCATTTATTTTCAAATGAAACTCACTCATGGATAAAAGCAGGATGTTGTTGATACTTGTAACAGGAGCCAAATTGGCCCACTTCCTGCATGTACTGTACACCCTGGTGTTCACCTATTTAACGAGCTGGCATGATGAAGATGTAGAACACAGAGCATGTGATCCAGTGTTTACCTCACTAATCCTGCCATAGACCGACAGGACAACATGGAAGATGAAAAGAGCTGCTAGTGTTCTAATAATATAGAAGTAATCACTAAACCTGTTAAGAACTCTTATGAATAGGTAAAGAAAGACTATGATACATTTGTCTTCTTTAGGTTTAAAGATTCCAACTTTTAATTGGACTGCATTCATCCTGTGGAGAAAATTACCCTGTGAAGAGAATCCGTGTATCATTCGTTCTTTCTATTTTCAATTGTCAATCAAAAAACAAAAAATAAAAGAGGCATTTATCTAATATATCATCAATGTTGTCAAAACCGCTGATAAAATTGTATTATTTTTCTTTAGCTGTTTATACTCTGATGAACACTTTTAGTGAATCAGTTCTATGTTAATGTTGCCACAACTTTGAGGGTCATGATGCTGTTGAGGTTCCTACATGAAGCCCAATTTCCACATTCCTGGCAGAAGCTACCGAAATTTTTTAATTTATTTTTTGCCGTTTTTGGGCCGATTCTCCAGTCGTGCGAGAATTTTTTGATCGAGCCGACTTTCAGCCTAATTGCGCGTCGTGTAGTGTAGAGGGGGCAACAATGGGAGATTAATCTCTCATGAGCACCTCCTGATCAGGAATCGTAAGGTCAGGAGAAAATTAATAACGGTTTGAAATTCAATCGGCCTTTAAGGGCAAATCGATCAGTGGGCAAACAAGGATTCTTCTTCTTCTTCCTTTCAGACAAAAACACAGAAGCATGGTGGTGAAGCGAGTGAAATGGAGATCTTTCTGTAAAATTGACAGACCATAGTAGCCATGTTTGCTCAGCCATGTCTTTGTCCAAATACGTCGTCCCCTTTTTTTTAGGGCTTTCAGAACAAAATTGCACGAATTGCCGAGGCAGCGCATTTCACTCCAGTGAACTTTATATTCCTCTTCTGCTCGTTCGGCTTCCAAATAGACGAGTCTGAATAACGCCATCTCACTGTGGAGCTGAGTGTGACTTGGTTTTTAGACGTACAGTGTGGCAGGTAGATCGCATCAGAGTGTCGTGTCACACAATGTGAGAATATACATAGTGAGCGGTTTCGTCATACAGTGTGAGCTGTAGCTGCATGCAATTATTGAAAATCGCTGGTTGTTTTACAAAAATTTACAAATTTGCGATGGTAGTACAGCGACAGCGTTTCCTTTGCATGTTTTCTAAATAAAAGGATGACATATTGATAGAGCATAACACTTGCTACCCACAGCAGCAAATCTTTTGTTGTTGTGTTGTTTGGTTTATCCTTTGTAGGGAAATGCACCATATATGAATTATAAATTCTTTCGGATTCTCCTTTTCTGATTGACTTGAGTCGCATTTTTTTCTCATCTTTTTCATTTTGTGAAGTGGCTGAGGCCAAAATGTGTAGTCCTAGAATCATTTTTAAGAATCCAGACACATTGAAATCCCTCCATAACCAGGCCCCCTTTAAGCCAATATTTTTGCCATTAACTGGAGGTCATATGCCTTAATGTTGCTTATTTTTTTATTTTATTCATTTACATTTATTTTTCCTGTTCTAATTCACTGGATTGAATTACCTTATAAAAAGATTAGAAATATAAACAGTCAAATCAGTCCTTGAGACATATTCTGTCATTAAATCTAATAAGCTATTATAGTGCAATTGTTAAATCTTTTTTTTTGTTGTGTTTGCTTAGTGAAATGAAGCTCTATCTGCCTGATATTGCTGTAGACTGTGCCCATTATGCCTTCATTACATGTTTGAATCACTGCAATTCTCTGTATAGTGGGCTCGATCAAACCTCCATTCATCGCCTGCAGGTAGTTCAGAAAGCTGCAGCTTATTTAGTTACAGGTATGAAAAAGTGCAGTGTCCTCCAGTTAGCTACAGGATTCATTTTCAGATTTTATTGATGTTTTTTTAAATGGGTTAGTCCCAGTCTATCTTTGTAATATACTGTTGGTCCATGTTCCAGCTCAATCAACAAAAGGCCATGCCAAGATCTCAAGTGAAAACTGGAGGGGACCAAGCATTTGCCTTCAATGCTTCTTCCTTTACATATTAAAACAGACCAGTCACTTTGCATTCTTATGTCTTAAAAACCCTCGCATTTGCAGTATTTTTTAACTCAAGTTGAGCAGGTTCTTCTGTCATTTTTAATCTTTCTTACAATATAAAAAAAATCTAATGCGAGTGCATTGAGGCAAATCTACCATGAAAAAATGAATAAAATAATAATAATAATACATTTTTCTGTTTGACTCCATTGTAGTCATTAGGGTCAACAAGCTGAAAGAAGTAATGACCAAAGTTGGCTGGTGTAGATTTTGGGGGTTATTTGAAATGTTGAGAATTAAGCAAGATAAGGAGCTCTGTTTATGATGTTTTATCAACCTATTAATTGTCTATTGCCTGTCGGTGGCTTAAGGAGCCAGACTGTTAAAGGCTTAAATAAAGGTTAGTAGAATAAAATAAATGAATATTTGAGAGCCTAAACAGAATTATTCACATTTAAATCACTTTTTAGAAAACAGTTGAAAGAGTGCTTTTAACATTTGGAATATAAGATATAATTTGTAATTCCTTATTTTCTGTTAATTTGACCTTTTATTTTCAATGTTTGTTTGCATACAGCCTTTGATTAAACCCATACAAAGTGTAAACCAAAGAAAACCACTTAAGCTCTCTTAAAAAAAGAAATTGTTTTTAATAAGCATTAATTTAGGAAACAATAAAGGAATGCTTTAAGAATAAAAAGGGAAATTTTCTGAACTGTTTTACTGTAAGATGACATGACTAATGAAACAAGAATTTGTTTGAGAGCATTTTTCAAATAAGTGTCAATTTATCAATTTGTCCTATTTTTATTTTTTTTTTTTAACTTTGTCACAGTTGGGTTATGTTTATAGTCCTGTCTGCTCCTGATGATGGTGGTGATCCTCATTCAGTTGTCGTTTACGTGGCGAAAATGTCAGCCAGCTGCTCTTGCGGCACGTTTCTTGGTCACCGTCCAGCAGGTTGAACGCTTTGGCTCAGAGCCCATTTTAACATCCAAGAACATTGTGTTTTGTTATGCTTTGTCTGTGTTGGTACTGAAAATTTATCTAGCTCAGTTATCTTTGACATTAGAATACAAAAAAAACAGAGGCTTTTATAAAAAAATAAATAAAAAGCATACTGTCCGATTATCACCTCTGATATAATAATGTCCCAGAAGCAAGTGTAGAACTGTATTTATTGAGGCTATTGCTGCATTGGTATGCTGTCAGTGGCCTGTAGTGTGTCCCCATCCTTCTTGTTGGGCTAAGGAGTTCCCAGTGCCTTTGTAGTAGCAAAAGGATCAGGCTGTACTGTTTCTTCTGGTGTGAAATCCACTGAGCTAAACAAACCTCCCTCAAAAAACTCCATTTAATTTTATTCAGTGCGTGCTTACAGGCTGTTCTTCTTCCACCCCCTAAAAATAGAAGAGGAAGTCGTTCCACAAAGCTACCCTGGAAGTGTGCAAATCTTCCTTTCCAGAACCTCAACTTTACTGTTTTTACTTCTTCTCCTGCATCACCTCCTTTCTTTCACCGTCTTTCAGGATGTCCCACATTGAAAAATCGAGAAATCAACTTAACTTAATATTTTTTTGTCGGTTTTTTCTTCTTTGCTGCTGTTTGGAAGATGCGACACATGGATTTATTATAACAATGCAAAATACCATTAAAAGGTCAATTTATTTAAATTTAGCTATTTAGCTTTTTTTAAATTAAAATTATTATCATAATTAGAATGATTGTAGTTATAAGTAATACAGTAATTATATTGATACATTTACATTTATTTATAGAGCACTTGCACTTCTAATAAAAAAAATCTAAAATTCTATAATCAAAGAGTATAGAATAAATAATTAACATTATACTAGCTCTCAGCTGAGAAAAAAACAAAGTTATTTATACTTTTACATACATGTCATTTGCAATATATGTAGTACTGCCTGGAGGTGATCAGCCTGTGAGTCTGTGGAGGTGTTTATATGTAGTAAAGGGTCATTTGAAATTTTCCAAATGAAAAGCAAACTACTTTATTCTCATACAGAACTTTAGGGATAGAAGCTTTACTGCGCTACCCTTTTAAGGGAACATGTTTCTACAATTCTGGATGATAACTTCCATATACTTCATTCTCTTAGTTTTATAACTGATGGAAATGGTGTAAAATTTAACTTTGCATCATCTTGAAAAACTATTTATTTTTGTATGTGACGAACAACAAGTTAGTGCAGCACCGAGACCAACTATAAAGAAATTGTCGGGATGAAACAAATTATTTTGATGGTTTTTATTCTTTTTTAAATACCAGCAGGCCATAACCAAAATGAGCTTAAATGAAACCAAACTAATTTGTTTATTTTTAAATTGTAATGAGTAGAAACTAGAGATAATTGCAAAAAAAAAAAAATGTAAAGAGTAGAAGTAAAAAAGTTGTCTAAAACTAATTACTCAAGTAAAGTATAGATAGCCAAAATTTCTACTTAAGTAAGGTAACGAGGTATTTGTATTTTGTTACTTGACACCTCTGTTCTGGATATGCATGTGTGCTTAAAGGGAATTTACTCCTCAGTACTCTCCATGCTGCTGCTGCTGTCCCTTTTATCACGTTATTGTGCATCTTTTTCTGCAACAAATGGCTAAAGCAGCACAGATAGCATAATGAGCTGCAAGCACACCTATGCTCCAAACTACAGGAGTGAACACACCCACACACACAAAAAAAGCAAAAAAGCAAAAAATAAAGAAAAAAATGAAAAATCTCACTGTAATAGAAATATATACTGAGGAAAATATCTGCAGCTGCTTTGCTGTTTGCTGTTCGTTTGCTCCTGTAGGCCAGCGTTTTAAATAAAATACATAGAGAAATGGAAAGACATAAAAAAACAACAAACACAGAAAATGAAGTGCAAAATAGATTTTAATCATTTTAAGTTTGGGTCACTTAACAGTAAAACATAAAGCAATTAAGAATCAATGATGATTAACTGCATAGACCCATTTAAACATCACAGTTAGATATAAAAGCTGCATCAGTAAATACTTTTCATTGCTTAGTATGCTGTTGGTTACAACACCTTACTTTTTTACCTCATCCAGTTTGGAGTAAAAACAATAAGGAATAGCTGTGTTTACATGTTTTATTCTATGTGACTGTGATTTGATATTTGACAGTTTATCAGTTCAAAACCTCTGATACAGAATAGCACATTATATATCTGGCTCTGGGAATACACTAAACAGCAAAAAATTATTTATTGTTGGACTACTGTTAAACAAAGAAAAAGAATGGTACAGAGAAATGCTATTTTTAGATTTGAAGTACCAGAATCTTGTACTATGACAACAGATTTCAAAACGATCAAGTCATTTATTTTTTAAATCTTAAACATTTTTCTCCTTATCAGTTATTGAAAGTTGCCATTTTCTTTTATGTCAGACAATCCTGGCACGGCTTGTTTTATGTGTGACCGATTCTGTGTTTTCATGTTGTCCCATAAACACGGGACGTGGGTCCTTTTTGTTGAACCCAAAGCCCTCTAGGTTGCAGTTCTTATATGGGTGATGCTGGCTAAAACTCTGAGTGTTTTCCTCCAGCATCTCTTACTGAGGGTCGGATTTTTTTAAACACCTACCTTCTACATGACCACTGGTCATCTCTCCTAACAGGTGATAGAGCACTAATATGTGACGATGTAAATCTTTTCTGTCTTTCTTATTACCAATACCTTTTTTTAATTTGGTAGACCAGTGTTTTCAATGGATTAAACAAAACAAACTAAAATAGGACATTGTGCTTTGAGCAAATACAGGATGCTGTTGTGCTTCTAGACAGATCATTGTTTGATGCTGAGGGGTTCAGTCACTTGCTTGAGGGATCATGTGCAGTGCTTGGCTCAGCTTTACTCCAACTGCTCCAAAAGGAGACCTCTGTCACTGATAGTCTTTTGTTTCACTTCTTTTTGATCCCATTTAGAAAACATAGACAGACGCTCCAAAGACCAAATGCTTAAACAATAACCTATTTAAAACAGGTTTGCAATTTTGCTAAATCAAGCTGGTATTAATTGTTTCTTTAGATCTGTGTATGGCTCTGTTCCCGAAATGCTAATATTTCTTAAATCTTTGCCTTTTTGTTCAAAAGAGTTCCAAACAATTTTCCTTTCTGAATGTCCACGTTTCCATTCAACTTAAAAAAAAAAAAAAAAACTTCAGTTAGTCAGTTTTAGAGAATTAAAATTTAAAATGTAATATTCTCATTATAACAAAATGACAATTGGTAAAGTTTCGATGCGGTTTTGTATTCCACATTTCAAAATTTGGTTACAAAAAGATAACCCTTATAAATCTGGGTTATCTGGCTGGAGGTTTTTTTATTCTAGCCAGTTTGACAATGAATTAATAATCATGTGTCATACCCAAACCACTAAGCAATCAAAGTAGATGGAAATAAGAACTACCGGTATTGGAAATTAATGTACATTGAATTAAATCAAAGCTAGTAATTTGCTAGTCACACATCTTGTTTTGGTCTACATACAGTGCTAAAGAGCCCATAAGATGGTGAAATATTCCTAATTGCTCCTTCAAGCAGGGTATCTTTGCACATCAAGTTGAGTTTCAAATAACATAAGGTCTTCTTGTGGAGTGGCAGGTAAAGGACACTATTTTAACATTTCCACAAGTTGCGTACGTGGCTAAGAAACTTTGTTTGATAGGTCTGATTGATAATGAAAAAAAAAAGAATCTCCTTTAGATCGATCACTGCTAATGAAACAGGCCCTTGGAGCTCTGATTATCAAAGTTCAGCCATCTAAAACACCTTACTCTTAACCTTTCTAATATAAATGATAAATAGGGGATAGTTTTTGCTGTTTTAAACTGGGTTATTGGTTTAGAACAGCAATGTTTTTTTTAATCTCACCTACCAGTTCTCTCAGTGTAATATAACCACTAAACGCTGAAAATGGGAATATTGTTATAGCTTCCCCTCATTTTTCTCTCCTTAGTTTTAGGATTAGGATTTGATAAGGCAGATAAGCAATTAGCATAGAAAGTTTTGTTTGGGTAAGAAAAATAAAACGGTGGCTTTGCTGACTACTGCCACATGTATAAATAATATTGTGTTAAAATATATGATTTTACATTTTGCCTGATTCTTTAGCTCTAACTTGAAGAGTTTTAAGTTTGGGCCAAGTGTGAAAGCGGAAATTTGCTTTTAACATGAAATGTTGAAAATTCCTATGATTAACAAAACCAATTGAACTCTAAATTTTAAGTTAAAAACCACCAAAACAATTAGTTTGAGCAAAATCTTTACTTCAAAGTTTTTGTCTAAAACAACACATTTCCAGATAGCTTACCTAAGTTCTATTGAAATAATCAGGATGCCTGGTTATTCATGCTTATGTAGGTCAGGTTGAATTTCATTGTCAGTGTCTCAGGTTTCTGTTGAGACCTGGTTTGAAACGCTTCAATCGCTGAATCAAAACGCAACATAAGCGCTCTGAACCTAAACCACCTATCATATATAAAACTGCACGTTCTCATTGTTGTTATATCAACATATAGACGAAGGAAGTAGCCATGCAGACAGTCGTGGCGTCTTCACTGTGATGTGATACTTCTTTTTTGTCCTAATATTTGTTTTGACAGGGTACTGCCACCCCTACTTCCCTGTTCTGATGTACTGTCTGGAAAAATGCTGGTTCATGCATGCAATAACTTTTGTTTTTTTATCCCCTCCTCATCTGTTAAAGGTCACATTACGCTTTTACTTCTAATGTGCTGTAATTCCCAAAAGGACTTTTTTTGTTAACAGGAAGATGCTTTAAAAACTCATCATAACATCTGAAGTATAGTTTGAATTTCTCTGATGTAGTGCGTTCATTTCCTTTTTGTCCCTTTTGCAGGTCACCATACCATTTACATTGGAGTCCGTGTGCCGAAGAGCTCCCGGCGTCGGAAGCGCCATCGCCGGAGAACAAGCCACAAGGACAGAAAGGAGAGGTTGACAGCTAATGCGTTTGACAAGTCGGACACGGGCAACAACGACGAGGCCAGCAACAGCATCCTCAAACCTCTCAGTAAGTTCTGATGGACTCCATGTCAGTTCTGATTAGGTTTCATGTTTCTCCTGCTGAAGGCTGCTCTCTGCCCCTGTAAAACCCTGTGGCCCCTAACAAAGTTGCTGAGTCCATTCATTGGCCAGAAATAGCTCTGCTGTGTTCTGCTGAGCGACATGTTTATTTTGGACAGAACAAAATCTTTTTTTTTTGTTGGATCTCATAGCTAGTTATAGCAATGGTGCTGTGGTAGGGTATTATGGTCCTCAGATGGTCTTCAGTAATCAGATTAAATGGACTTTGGAAATGGGCTTCATTGTGGCACAGTTTGTAGGATTGCTACCTTGCACCAATTCCTAGCTTGGGGACTTTCTGCTTGGAGATTGCATGGTCTTCCCTGTGCATTAGTGGTATCTCTCGAGGTACTCTGGCTTCCTCACATAGTCCAAAAACATAACTGTTTGGTTGATTAATATTTCTAAATTGCCAATAGGCATGCAAATGATTGTGTGTCTCTGTGTTGCCCTGAATCAGACTGGCAATCTGTACAGGGTGTACCTTGTGTCGCGAGTGGTGGCATAGTGGTTAGAGCAGTGCGCTTGTGCTCTGGGAAGGTTGCAAGTACCTGGTTTGATCCCTGCACTCTGGTCCTCTGACAAGACCCTTAACCCCACACTGCTCCCCAGGCGTTGCACAGTGGTAGCCCACTGCTCCCCAAGGGGATGTGTTAAATGCAGAGAGAGAATTTCTCCATTGTGAGATCAATAAAGATAATTTCTATCCTTTCTACCCCACCTTTAGCCTATAGTCTGCTGGCTATAGGCACCAGCCCTCAGTGGCCATGGCAAACAAGTGGTAGAAGATAGATTGATGGATTTATGAAATCTCAATGATAATTAATGACAATAAGTGGTATAATTGGTAAAGGAGAAAAAAAGTACTAAATAATGAATAAAAATATGACTGTCACTGAGGTTATTTGTGCTTTAATGATTCCCTTGTTTTTTTTATTCATGCTTTTTACTTCCACTAGCACTAATCAGGGCACTAACTCTCTTTTGCTTGTATTTTGTGGGCTGTAAACTTGAAGCTATCTTGCAAACCAGCGATCTGCATCACATTCATAATTTTTTTTTATGAACAATTGGATTTTGATTCAGTCTGGTGAATTCTAGGATGGAGAATGTTAGAGTTAAACAGATAATTAGATATTTTTCCTTTGGGTATTGACTAGTTGTAAGCAGTCAAAGCTGTTTATGTTTTCGAATTTGTATTGAGAGTCAGAAAGTGGATCTTAAAAGAACAATATACTCAAAATTGGAGCATTACTGTGATAAATCAGAAAACCAGTAATATTTGCCTGTTGTTTTTGTGCTAATTATCCTCAGCAATGCAAGTCAGTAACAACATTTTCTTCTCTATTATATACTACTTCAAAAACTAAAATAGATATTTACACAGAAGGATATCACTGTTTGTGCCACTGGTTTCATTAATACATGAACCATCACAGGCACAACTGTTTTGTTTATATGCAGGAAACTAGAATAATCTGACATAGAAAACATGTTATTTACTTGCAGATGAAAACTGCTAATGTCTCAGTTTGGAAAATTCTCTGTGAACTTAAAGGTTTCTTGTATAGGAACTATTGAGTGGCCTGATGGACATGAAAGCGGGACATTTGTTCAACTCCTCTATCAATAAATATTTAATATTGTACTACTGTAAATGTAATTCTCATAGTATTTTTAAGACTTTTTAAACCTTATTTTTCTTCTGCTGCTAATGTGTTTGCAATGTACTATACTATGCCGAGGATATGACACTGCTACAAGCTCTACAATAGAGCTACACAGAACTATACTGTATGTTATGATTTATTTAGGTATTTATTAATAAGAAGAATATGTGGATTATTCTAGATCTTAGATAATCTTAGTCTTCTTGGCAGATAACCAATCTTTGGAGAAATAAAGCCTAATCGTAAAGGTCACAGGATTGTCCCTGAAGCTGTTTTTTTTGGCTATTCTCTTTGTTTTTCTCCCTTTGAAATGAAAGTACCGGTAGTTGTCTGTCTCTCTTTGCTGGAGCTTTTCAGTTTTAGATTTCATTTTACAAGTAATGTTATCCCAAGACAGGTTTTCTTTGCATATGTATAATTTGGGAGGGATATGTATAAGTATAGATATTCTAACTATACTTTACTTATGTACATGCATCTTTATGTATTATTGTGATAATGAAAGGTTGACTGGCAGTTTCCACTCTACGTTGCTTTATACAATTCATTTGGCACAGGGAAACATAGGTTTTAGCTGATTAACATTTTCATTTTGAAGTTAACTTTTAATGAAGTTAAAATTAAAGGAAAGTCATATAAAATAAAGATTGCAGAGCCAGTTTGATGGGCTGCCTTTATCCGAAACCAAAAGATGGCAAAAGGAAGTGGATAATGTTAAAATGTTTGTCTCATGGAGCAGGGTACATGAGAACTGTAGTAGTAGTTTTCAGATTACACAAGTGAATGACACTTTTTCACTGTGTAAAGGCTTAGCTGCCCTTGCCCTCTCTGTCAAATCCAATAATGAGACAGAGCTCTGATGTTTCTAGAAAATGATACGATTTTTGCACGTCTGCTTGCACATGACGTGACAAAAGGACCAAAATATCTCAGAACTGGACGTATACATGCCAGCAATGGATTTCTCGAGAGCAGAAATCGCCTCTGTAGATAGATCTCAACAGCCTGTGATCTATTTCATTTGTTTCTAGTCTGTTCCTCTGAAATTATTCCTCTGTCTTCCCAGCGTTTTACCAGGACTACAGCTAATGTTTTGACAGAAAGATAAATAAGCAAGATAAACCCTTTTCTCTATATGTATTTGAAAACTAGATGATTCGTAAGTAAAAGAAACAATAAAATATAAGGAGCAAAAAGACCATGTCACAGAATTCCTATTCAATAAACAGCATTATTTCTTAAAGGGGAATCTCATATTTTCTGTATTGGACCTGCTTAACTTCGACCCAAATCTAAAAACTTTGACCTGTCTGTATGTTAAGTCCTTTTTTCTTATACCCCTGACTAAAATCTATTGAACCCAACAGCTTCTGAAGTCATGCTTTTCATATATAAACTATAATGGCCTAAGTGTCTAATTGAGTCTCATTTTGAAGACCTCACACAACATCCATGGAATTGAGTTCTGTTTATATACGTAGCAAACTAATCTCAAAGTACCTTACATAACATGGATCCAGGTTACACAGAAGAATATAGTCAGCACAGTCCTATTATACAGACAAGTTCAAAGCCAGTAGCATATATTTCAATATCATCCAGTTAACAGTGAATACAGTCAGGTTCAGTTTATTATGCCAAGTGTGAAATGTTTGCATGTAAGATGATTGCTTTGAGTCACTGACTTTGCAGAAATTCTTTCCTCTGAATAAGCATGCGGTTCCAGCAGACCATTAATAACTAAAGTCACTAACTTTTCTTGGATCCATCATCCATTTATTAACAAAAAGCATCATGAAGATCAAGGAAAACAGCCGATAGATCAGGGATAGAGTTGTGGAAAAAGTGCTGCTGTTAGATAAGACCAATATGTGCTACATACAACCCTGCAGATTCCCTTGAAAGAAAATATTTCTTCAGTCAGACAGGTTAATGGTAGTAAAATGCTAACGGGATACTACCTTCAGCAGCAGTCGATTATTTGTCATGGAAGTAGGTGGTTAAAATTGATAGAACATGGAGCTAAATTCAGGTTGTACATGGGGGGAAAAAAAGTTAAAATGTAGAAAAAAAAACATAAGATCTGTGTGGTGATATTTATGTTCCACGTCTGACCACAAGGGGTCAGTACTGGTGCTAACTCCAGGAGTGATTACCATCTTAAGGCTGCAGAGCAAGACAGACAGGCAGAAAGTTTGCATGTAAGATGTCTGAGCTAAAAACAATAAAGGACTAACTGCTGGAAACAGTTTCTTTATTTTTAAACAAAGAACAAAACATGGTACCAGGAGTGAAAGACGCCGAGTGAGAGAGTTTCGGTTTGGGAGAAAACAGTCGCCTTCGCCAAGAAATTCGACAATGGAGTTTGTGAAACCACCGGGACACCTGATGCTGACCGGGAATGTCGACAACAATTGGCGCACGTTTCAGCAGCAGTTTCAGCTGTATATCGAGGCAATGGGGCTGGACAACAAACCGGACTCGAGAAAGGTAGCTTTACTGCTAACTGTAGCTGGGCCACAAGCCATCGAGGTGTACAATACTTTTGTATATGAAGAGGAAGAAGACCGATCAAAGTATGACACTCTGATAGCCAAGTTTGAAGCTCATTGCTCTCCTAAGAAAAACGAGACATACGAGAGATATGTTTTCCATTCCAGGCTACAGCAGCCAGGAGAAACTTTTGATAACTTCGTTACGGACCTGAAAATAAAAGCACAGTCATGTAATTTCGGCACTCTCACAGACTCAATGATAAGGGATCAGATTGTGTCTGGAATTGAAGATACGAAGGTTAGGGAAAGGCTGCTAAGGGTGACTGAGCTAACGCTATGCGAAGCTGTGAAGATTGGTCAAGCTAGCGAGCTTAGCAAGAAGCATGTACAGACGTTCAGTGAAGCAGCACCTAGCAATGCAAACATGAGTGGATCGGCAGACGTCAGCGCCATATTTAAGCACCACAATACACGTCAAGGAAACTATAGTGGACAGAAAATGGGACAGTTTCAGTGCAAACGGTGCGGCACACAGCATAAGCCCAGAGAATGCCCTGCTTTCGGCAAGCAATGCAGCAACTGCCAGGGCAAAAACCACTTTGCCAAACAGTGTTTTTCTAAAAGAAAAGGGAAACAGAGAGGAAAATCGGTGAATGTCGTGGAAGATACGGAATTAGACGACACATTCTTTATTTCCATGGTGAACTGTGAAGATGAACCAAAAGCACAGATAAATGCTGTTAAAACAGACAAATGGAGAGCACCACTGCAAATTAATGGGA